CACTCGGTTGCAGCAGAAACAACATCGACAGCAGCAGAAACAACAACGGCAGCAGCAGCAACAACACTTACAACACCAGTTGCAAGTTCTTCAACGACATTGCCACACATCGACAATACTTCACCGACTCCCGCGCAGCAGCTAACTCCCACTCCTCGCGAAGTTCACAGAAGCGCCAACTTCACCGCCGCGTTTTTCTCCAACTCCGACCTGTATCAACGTTCACCCGGACATCGCGCTAGCGAAGATATCTGGCACGCACGAATGGGACATCCAAGCAATACAGTGTTAAACAATACAATCAGAGCAGGCATTCTCGACAAAGATTCTTTACTTCTAACTGACGGAAGTGAGCTACGACGAGCACGAGGAACATGTTTTACCTGCCCCGAAGCTGACTTACCACATCGACTGTGAAGATTGAAACAGGAATGAATGATGGGGAATGAATGCACTAGCAAGCAGTTGAGTACATATAGGAAACCCTAGATTGGGCTGTACTCACTATTGAGTACCCCACTGCAGGCTAGACAAATATAACATTCTGACATCGACCTTTCACTTCTCATCACAACCCCAGCGCACCAGCTTACGCACCACTTGAGAAGGTGTACAGCGATATCCTGTACAATCGCGAACCCGGACAAGGAGCATACAGTTATACCATCACGTTCATCGATGCAGCTACACGTTACGTTTGGCACCTCAATCTTCCGAGCAAGAACATGGCCTTCGAAGCCTTCATCGCTTGGCTTCCAGTAGCAAAACGAGAATCAGGCGAGAAACTGAAGAGCTTTCAGTCAGACGGAGGAGGAGAATACACCTCACAGAGGTTCAAGCAGTTCTTGGCAGAAAAGGGCATCAAGAGGCTCATCTCGCTTCCTTACGCCCATCAACAGCAAGGCGTGGCGGAACGGATGAACCGAACTCTCCAGAACACCATGCGCAAATTACTGCGTGGCATGCGACTGCCCAATCACCAGTGGCCTGAAGCGATGGACCACGCTGTCATGCTGCACAACTTGCTTTCGTCGTCATCACTGCCGAACAACGCATCACCGCACCTGCTGTGGACAGGAAAACAGGGAAGCACAAAAATGTTAAGAGTTTTCGGCTGCATGGTACAGTACCGACCCCCATCTGCACGAGCCGGCAGATTTTCCCAACGAGCACAGTGGGGACTACACCTGGGCATCGAAAAGAATTACAACGCGTGGAAAATCTTCGACGTCCACTCCAAAGAAACAGTGGCAGCACGTGACGTCATTTTCTACGAACGACTTACCCTTCCGACGTATCTTGCCAACTTGGAAGAAAATCGGGATCCCACAGGTGGCTTCCATGGTGACCGACACTTCGCCTCGGCAGCAGACGAAGCTGACTGGGATGAGCAGAACGTGGATAACGCCTCGGAAGAAGCAGGACCACTCCCTTACTGCTCCGTGCCCATCACGATGGATGACGAAAATCCTCGCGAAAGCGTCAACGCCGAAACTTATTTCGACCTCGCCGACACTGGTTACGTTACACCTGCAGAAGTCAACACCAACGAAGCAGAACGCATAGGGCCCAATTTCATACCCGACCCAGAAGCAGGTGACGAAGCAGCTTATCCCGAGGACACAACACTCCCCCGCTACACACAGAGTGGTCTTCAGATACTTGGTCTCGTCACCGCGGTCCACGGCACCGATACTCCTAAGGAGCCTGCCACAGTTCAGCAGGCTCTGGGGGGGGAGCATAAGGAAAAATGGCGTGAAGCCATGGACAAGGAACTGAAAGCACTACAGGAGCGCAACACCTGGAAGGTTGTTCCTATCGGCGTGGCACGAAACAAGACGATACTCACCGGGAAGTGGGTCTTCCGTGTGAAGACGAAAACAGATGGCACCATCGACAAGTTCAAGGCACGCTGGGTCGTACGTGGCTTCGACCAAGAGCACGGACGCGATTTCACTGAGACATTCGCACCGGTTAGTCGACATACTTCACTACGAATTCTTCTCGCGGTCGCCGCTATGAAAAAGAAGAAACTGCGGCAAATCGACGTCGCCAATGCGTTTCTCTACGCACCTGTCGACGCAGAAATCTACGTCGAACTCCCACATGGTTCTCACGGAGAGCCCAATCAAGTCTGTCAGCTGCAAAAATCTCTGTACGGGATTAAACAAGCCCCGAGACTGTGGCAGCAGTACTTACACGCTCGGCTCACTCGCATCGGATTCAAGCAGCTGCCGCACGACCAAGGCATGTACCGATTTACGAAAGACAACGACTACATTCTACTGATTGTCTACGTAGACGATCTGCTTTACATCGGGTCGACCGACAACGTTACTACCTGGTTCGAAGGGGAGCTACAAAAGGATCTCACCCTCACGGTTTCATCTACCGTCACGCAATACCTCGGCCTCAACATCCAACAAGGAGAAGACGCGATCTATCTCAACGCCGCAAAGTATGCCGACACCATCGCCAAACGGTTCGCACTCACGCCAACTACCATCTCTACGCCATACCGCTACACGGCAGGAAATGACAAAGCAGAATCTGCTCCACCGAAACCCGCCGACATACGCAACTACCAGAGAAAGCTAGGATGCCTTCTCTTCGCGGCCGTCACCTGCCGTCCAGACCTATCTTACTCAGCAAGTCAACTCGCCACCTACCTCAAAAGACCTGAAGACGAACACTTGAAGGAGCTCGATCGCGCCGTACACTACCTCGTAAGCACTCCAACGATCGGCCTGATCTACTACAAAAACGTCACTACAACGCCCAAGCTAATCGGCTACGTCGACGCTGACCACGCCGGATATTCTGACAACAGACGCTCGCGCACAGGCTACATCTACCGTCTCGAGCCTATCGGACCTATTTCGTGGCAGTCGAGCAAACAAGAATTAATCGCCCTCTCCTCAGCTGAAGCTGAATATATCGCACTCTGCTCAGCCACCAAGGAAGGATTGTATCTTCGCGAACTTTTGGAGGAAGCGAAGCTGGCCCAGTTACCCAGCTTCTCCCAATTTTGCGACAACCAGTCGGCAATTCGCATCGCCAACAAAAATGGATTCGCGAACAGGACGAAACATATCGCCCTGCGATATTTCTTCGTAAAGGACGAGATCGAGAAAGGAAGACTTGAGCTGTCTTACTGCCCCACATCCGAGATGGCAGCAGATTACCTGACCAAGAAGCTCGGAAAGTCGAAGTTCGAATATTGCATGCTGCTGACTGGACAGAGCCACGTCACCTGCAGCGACACTCCAGAAGCGAAGGGGAGTGTTGGAAACAACTGATTTAAGCGCCTCTGTCGTGTCGAAACACCAAGACAGAAGCGAAACAGATCGTATCGAAACATCGGTGAGTCAACCCTCGGAGGTTGAATAACTGTTGGAGGTTACGCGAAAGTCAAAGGTCAGCGATCTTTGACCTGGCAAATGCAGCGCGACAGCAAGGACAAACAACTGTCTCGATACTGAGCAGTTGCCCGAGTCGACACTGTATCGAACCGCAACAGCAACAGTAAAACAGTTATCAACTGTATCTCTTCATATTCCTTTGTATTCTTATAAAAGCTTGTATCTCTTTTGTTTAATCAACTTACTTTGCCCTCACATACAAGCGCAAGGTGGTTCACAATCCTTTATTAAACGCTTCCGCTACTACATCATCCTACCCTTGAGTTCTGCCCTGCAAAGATCCTAAGGGCTTTCTCAGCCCAACACTTTCTACACTAGATCTTAGCCTTGAAAGATCGTAAGGGCTTTTCTCAACCCAACATTTTGCAGTCCTTATAACCCACTCTTGCTCTTTTACCATGTTGATATAACGTAGGATCTTAGTGGATAGGATAGCTAGCCAAGTGTGTAGAGAAGACAGTGAAGTGTTGAAATGACCTTGTTCTAACAATTGAAAGAGAACAATAGAGTAAAGATAGAGACACAAGGAATTTAAACGGCAGCCATAGCTTGCCATGTACTCTGAGGGGTACATTCCTTTATTAGTTGTATTGCATTGCTATAGTAACCGTGACTATTGCTATACTTGACAGTTACCAGGTTGCATCACGTAACCCCTGAGTACGGTTACTGGGTGGTCAACAGTCGCGACCATTGAGTTCCAGTGACTGTTGACCTTCATGTGGCTATCTGACTTACGCTTGCTCTATATAAGCTATCACGGTACTGGTACAGCTGCGCTTCTTCGTTATGAAATGGCGCGTTAAGAGAGAACCTTCGGGAATGTTTACAATAGCCTATGAGTTATTCCAACATGACTCACCTTCAGGAAAGAAGGAGGTGGAATAACCAAATGGTTACTGCAGCATTCTCGAAGGTTTCACCTTAGCGTTGTGCAATCCTCGCTTCACTCTTTCCATTGCACTCGTATGGTAGTAGCGTAAAAGCTGGATTTTTTTCTTACGCTTTTTCAACTCAGAAGTGTAAACTTTTCTGGACGACGCTGAACCCGCATCATGCTCCACGTGAATTCCCGCCAGCAGGGCAATGGTCTTCACTCAGCATTGACCTAGCGTGAATGTTCCAACCAAACTCATATTGAGAGATGCCGTAGACTTTGACCAGCTCCCCCAAGACTCCTGACCTGACCAGCTGGATCTCACCGCGCTGGCACGCCATGTCAGTGCTCGCCACCGAAAAGTCACCTTCCCGAACGGATCGCGGTGCACTCACATTTCTCCAAACCCACTCCCCTGCAGCAACAATCAAGATAAATCCGCTGGGCCTCATTCACTTCCTCGCACCTTTCCTATCTCTCAATTTCTTGTCCTCGTTTCATCCAAGTTCTCAGCATCGCATTTGAAGAACTTCACAAGAGCTTGATTGTAATTTCCCGCGTAGTTGTTCCCGCGGAACGCGTCACTAGAGCACGGTATTTTGATTTTATTCGTCCAAAAAAGTTGTTGTTGTGACATCGCACTGACAACAGACCGAAATCAGTGTCCGTCCTGAATTTCTAAGAATAGTCGCAAGTTCGAAATGGCTGCGCAGCAGGCTCCGAACATGCAGGGCATGAGTTTCAACGCCGCGCCACCACCCCAGTTCGCCGTACCACCACCCCAGTTCGCCGCGCCACCACCCCAGTACGCCGCCACAGGGCCATCCCCAGCGCCGAACAATCCGAGATGTTGCTGTGATAATAACAAGCGGTCCGCGCTGTACACGTGGCTCCCTTTCGGCCTCCGCATCGGCATCTTCCTCTTCTGCCTCGTCTCTTTCAGGTGCGCTCGCTCATCGTCAATTCGCTTGCGCTCCAAGTCAGCACACCTGAGCTCGATTTCTCTTCCCGTTCTCAGAAGCTCGAGCTGACTGCACACAGAGCAAATAAATGCATTCTCTCACAACACATACGATTATTAGAATATCTGCCTTTTCGTTCTCTCACCGTCTTCTTAATTCCTGTATCATTGTTACATCCGCAGTCTGTCCTTCGCGACCAAGCAGGCGGTGACGGAGTACGCGGCGGGCGCGTTTCTGGTGGGAGTCACCATTCTGGGGTTCATCCTGGCGCTCATGTTCTTCATCTACAACGGCGTGCGCATGTGCGTCGCGGGCTCCGAGGCGTACGACGCCGTCATGGACCTCGTGCAATTCTTCGAGACCTACGTGAGTCTCTCCACCCTCGCCAGCTACGTGAGTCACTGTGCAGTTCTTACTATAGGCCTGCTGAGGCATTGAACGCTTGATTTTATGCAAGCTTTCAAAGAATATTACACTGTTTTGAGTCCTCCTAATCCAGCATCGCGCGCAAACTCGTTGCGCTCCAGCTAGCTTTGTGATGAGATAAAAAAAAACTCCTACTTGCCTTTTCTAAAACAAAAGTTTCAGTCCTTTGCGTCATTCTTGTTCTCTTTTGAACGAGCTCCAGTCTTCGTTCTCTTGTTTATAAGAGGTTGTATTACTTCCCCCCTGGTTGACAGATTATGTCACTCCTTCTGTTCGCCGCCGCCACGTCCGCAGCAGCTGCGTGCAACACGTGGTGGAACGCCAGCGCCTTGAACAAGTACGTAGGCAAGACACATGCTATGACTGTCTAGTACCTTATGACCATGTATCATCTCTGCTCTGCACAAGCGGGCAACGTATGAATAATTTGCATGATTTCACGCCATATTGGATTCCTGTGTTTCACGTTTCCATCTCTGCTCTCCCAATTCCCTTCTTTGACAGTGCGGTGTCTGGCAATTACAACGAGAGCGCAATCAAGGCCATGCTCGGTGCATTTAGCTTGAGCACCACAGTCCCTGGACAACTGAGTTACGGAACTTATCTCGAGCAAATCGTGGACGATGCGAATGCGGATCTGAGCAAGGTGCGTGGCGCATGTGCCATGGCGTATTTCGCGGCCTTCATCTACATTGCCATGTTCTGGCACTACACCATCCGCATCTACAAGCGTGGCATGCTCAAGGCCATTGCAGACGCCACTGTGCCGCCAGCAGGCAAGGCCAACGTGCCTCCTTACAACGTGTGACAGCTGTGAATTCCTTGCAGGACATGCCATAATGTAGTCAGGTTCCTGCTTTTTGTAATGGAATGTGTCAGTGCATTTGAGGTTGGGGTGAGGGGTTTCTTGTTGTTAGGCTGCACCAGGATGGGATTGTTAGTGGAACTGTTGCTGCCATGTCACCATTTCCAAGGGTAGCAGAGCTTGTAAATGCTCATCAGGGCCCACTGGGGTTCCTCTGCATCCTTGGTTCTGCTATTTATCCGCTGGTTTGGTGTAGTTTCCCGAAGTGTTATGTGTGCATGCAGTAAGCTGAAACGGTAAGCTGCTAATACGGTAAGCTGCTAATCAAAGCACATCAAGATTGCACAAGATTCTGAAACGGCACTACATAGGCGGATAATAGGCGCAGCAAGACACTGCCCCCCTACAAGTAAGAAATCTGTTCGCTCCTAAGCCTATCAATGCTCTACCTAAACCCACAGAGTCTCGTGGCCGTCAGCCCTTTCCCTTGGTCACACCTGTGCCGTCACCCCTCTTGCCCTTGGCAGCACTGCCTGTGCTCCCCTTTTTCTCCTTGCTCCCATTGCTCGTCTGGCTTCCCTTGCTACCGTTGCTTCCCGTGATCCCCTTGCCCTCTGCCTGCATACTTCCACTCGAAGCCACCTTTTCAGCAGAAGGCCCCTTGCTTCCCTCTGCCTTCCCTTTCGCCTTTGCCTCGCTCGTGCCAATGGTGCCACTACCGCTGCTTCCCTTAAACTTGCTGCTGTCGGTCTTCACTTGATCTCCTTTGCTTGACTTACCTTCCTTGCTGTCGCCACTGCTGCCCTTGCTGCTATCGCCATTGCTCTTGATGCCTTTCCCACTGCTTGTGGTGCCCTTGCTGCTACTGTCTCCCGCATTCTTACCTCCCTTCCCTCCCGTCGTGCCATTGCTCTCTACTCCCCCCTTGCCCGTCTTGGTACCATTCCCCTTACTTCCCCCTAAAGCTCCTGATGTGGGACCCGCGCCCTTGCCAGGCCTCTTTGGACTGCTGCTCCCACTACCCTCTTTCCCTGGCTTGCCACTGCCGCTGCCCGTTCCATTTCCTGTTGCCTCTTCCATACCAATTACTCCCTTCTTGCCACCACCGGACTTGGCACCCTCACTTCCGCTGCCAGCCTCGGCACTGGATTGCGTTTTGTTGTGCTGCCCCTTGCTCTTATGGTGCCCCACTCCAGCCGCATGGTGCCCCGGCCTTCTCCCACCCTCAACCCCCTTGGCACTCTCACTAGCAGCAGCAGTGCCATCAGCAGCGCTCTTCCCTGTGCCCGTCTTCACCTTGGCATACTTCTTCGGATGGCTCCCACCCGCCTCCCCCCCACTCTCCCCTGCACCGTTTCCCCCATCAGCCTGACCATCCGCCCCATCCGCCCCATCGCTGTGTGGCTCCACCTGCACGGCGCCGTCCTGCTGGGGAAGCGGCAGGGGGCGGGGCAGAGGGGCGTCCTTGTAGTAGCGCACGGGGCACTTCTGCTTCAGCTCGCACGCCGACTCCGCCTGGTCCGACGCATCAGGGCACAGTGGCTGGCGCTCCTCGTTGCACACGTCACAATAGTTCTACAGACAGTACTTGCCGCCCGGGCACGGCACGCGGCCTGTGGCGGCGCAGTCGTATCCCGTGCACGTCTCCTCGTCCTCGTCGCTCCCATCGTGGCACTCCTTCACGCCGCTGCACCATGCGTCCTCTGACACGCACTGCCTTCCGTCCGCACACTTCCTCCACCCCTCTGGGCACTCGTATGCCGCGCACATGACTGGATCCTCGTCAGCGCTGACTCCTTCCTCGTCAGCAGCCACGCCCTCTAGCATCATGACCACGTTACCAGCAGCTCCGCCTTGCATCACTCCTCCCACACCAGCCGTGGTACCATCAGTACCAGGAGTAGCTGTGGGAGCGGTGGTGTGAGGCATGACAGCGGGCGTCAATGGAGCAACAGCATCAGAGCCGGTGGCAGGGTCGGAGTCAGGAGCGGAGTCAAGGGCGGTGGGCATGCGGCAGTCGGGGAAGCCGTTGCAGAGCGTGCCGGGCACGCACAGCAGCGAGCCGGGGCACTTGATGAGGCCGGGCGCGCACTCGTGGTCCACACAGAAGGCACGGTCCTCGTCGCTGCCGCCCGGGCAGTGCGGCGTGCCATCACACAGCAGAGAGGCCGAAACACACGCGGGCGCTGAGCCGTCCACAGTTGGACACACCACATGCACGCATGGAGGGGACGGGAGGAAATGGTGATGGATGGGGAGCGAGTCGTGTGAGTCGGCAGCGGATGCTACTCACATGGTTCACTTGCTTGATCACATGGCAGCACCCCATAGTCATCATCATTCATTCAAAACCAACGATCCGCAACTGACCCTGTCAGTATCGGAGCAGTTGTAGCTGCTACAGAAGAGCGCGCCCTCGTCGCTGCCATCGCTGCAGTCCTTCCTCCCGTCGCACAGCAGCCCGTCGTACGTGCACTGCTGCCCTCCTGGGCACTGCGTCTGCAATTGGGGAGAGAAACGGGGGATTGTGGGTGAGTCGCAAGTCAAAGTGCAGCAACAATCAAGTCATCAGAGAGTGCTTGCAGCAGGGTATTCAACTCGAGCAGAATGGCAAGGAGAGCAGCGATCGGAGCAACCGGCAGAGCAGCGGGCAGAGCGGCAAAGGGGGCAACAGCGAGGGGAGCAGCGTACCCGGAAGGAGTTGGAGCATTTGAACTTGGAGCAGAACTGCGGGAGCTCGTCGCTGCCGTCGCGGCAGTCGGGCATGCCGTCGCACAGCTGGTACTCCCACACGCACCCGCCCTTCAGAGGGCACGCCACCTGACCGGGTCACACGTGGGGGAGGGGGGAAGTAAAGTGCGCGGGGTTAGCAGGCGGCAAACTGGTGGCTGGTGTGGTTGCCAGCACACTGGCATGCGAGCAGGAGGAACATGGATGGGTGCATGAGTAGGGGGAGAAGAAGCAGGACAGCAGCTGTGAGGCGTGCGACGGCTCACCCGGCCAGTGGCGGAGCAGTCGAAGGCGTCGTTGCAGATGGCGGCGGCCTCGTCGCTGCCGTCAGTGCAGTCGGCGTGGCCGTTGCACATGGCATCGGGGAAGATGCACCCCACGCCGCTCGGACACGTGCTCAGGTGGCGGCACGTCGGGACGCAGCGGGTGAGAGGGCGACGTGAGAGGGTGACGTGAGAGGGTGACGCGAGAGGGCGAGGAGAGGGCTGCGAAAGTCTACTTGCCTTGACTCACACATAATTAGTCCCAGCATGAATGCAGTTGACTCGCGTTGAAAGACTTTGCCGGCATATAAGCAGTTATTTCACGTTGACCCACCTTGCCAGCATCGCTGCAGTTGAAGGTTTTGCAGAAAGCTTCGTCCTCGTCGCTGCCGTCGCTGCAGTCGCTCACTCCGTCGCACGCCTGTCCTAGGAACATGCACCCCGTGCCGGACGGGCACTGTTGCTGTTGGGGGCAGACGGGGAGCAGGGGAGACGATGGGCTGCTTGCAGACTTAAGGACGCGTAGAGAGGGGTGCGCGTGGAGGCAAGGAGTGACAAGGCGTGATGAGGGTGACAACACGGAAGAATGAAGGATGGGGAGGGTGGAGGGCGAAGCACTTACCCGGCCGTCCGTGCTGCACTGGTACTGCGAGAAGAAGGTGGGGTGCTCGTCCGTGGCGTTGGGGCACGACGGCTTGCCGTCGCACAGCAGGTACCCTGCCACGCACTGCGCCGCCCCCAGCGGACACCGCTCCTGCCGCAAGGGAGACGGGGGAGAGCGGAGAGGACGTGGTGAGCGGAGGCGCAGGTGATGCGAGAGTGCAACCGTGGGGAATGGCAGGGAACGAGTGGCAAAGGAATGGAGTGCGAGGGACGGTCATGATGGTCCATAATGGACATTGAATCGACAAGTTGGCGCACCAGTGGCTGCCGTGGCCATAGAGTACCCGCCTACCATCCCCATAACGAAGCATTGCGTACCATGCCAATAGAGGAGCAGTCGAAGGCAGTGCAGGTCTTGGGGTCCTCGTCCGAGCCATCGCGGCAGTCCTTGGTGCCGTCGCAGCGCGCCGAGTCCAGCACACACTGCTGCTCGTCCGCGCACTTGGACGACCCCGCGGGGCACTGCGGGCATGCGCGCAGGGCAGGGCGGAAACGGGGGAGGGAGGGCGGGAGTGGCGCAGCGAGGTGTGTGTTTAGACATCTGTTGGTGCAACCCTACGGTTTGCACTCGGCTTGTTGTCCGTGTGCGTGAATGTGTGTGTGTATGGAATGGTATGAGGGCATGGGATAATATATATTTCATGCTTATAATTGTGTGTGAATGTTGGGTCATGATGTCGAGTGTGTGTGTCGAGTCAATAGCGAGTTATCGCTAGACGCGTGTTACGCGGTCGTTTGTGTCTCGCGCGCGGTTTCTATTTTGTCGTGCGCGGTTTCTATTTTGTCCTGTGTCGAACGTTCGGCGTGTCGCAGGTGTGTGCAGCAGACCCATCAAGAACTCAAGGATGAGTTTGTGATGAAGAGCCCGAGCCTTGGTGTCAAGCCTCAAGTGATTTCGAAGCTTGCCAAAAGGGTACACCTCAAGATATTGAAGATAGTTACATTACTTTGTGTAGTGTAACATTTCACTTGGTGTAGGCCCTAGTGAAGGGTAGTTTCGAGACCCTTCGTGGTTGGGGACAGTGTGGCACTGTTCCACATCACTGTACCTCGGCTCTTGGGGTTTGTAGGAGCTGGGAGTCATTCCCAACTCGTAACTCATCCTATCTTGTGTTCTAATAGTGGCTGCCATAGTACCGTTCGTTCAAACCGACGCTGTGTCGTCAATTCTTCATCAAATCGTGCAATCTAAATTGCTAATTGTAGACGACGTGAAGACGCTCCAGATCCAATTTGAATCAAGTCATTTGCAGCTGTGAGAAGAACGCTATCAACGTTTGAAGCCGCTGTGCAGAAATCCGTCTGTGCTCTCTATCTTTCGTTTTAGGCACATTCAAGCCTATTGTGACTATAATAACATCGACATCGTCTCGATGGACGCGAGAGGCGTACTGCTTGTGCGGCGCTGAGAATACAGCTGCGTAGCTCCCAGCGGTGTCTAGTTCAGGCTCGTGAGAGAAAGAGTGTTGTGTCGGGCGAGTGGGAGAGGGCCACCAGGCTGGTGGCCGCAGGTGGTACCTGGTAGTCGGCAGGTGGTACCTGGTAGTCGGCGCACGGCGCGCCGAAGTCGGAGCCGTCTTTGCAGGAGGGGCCCGTGGAGGAGAAGCAGAAGGAGAAGAGCGGCACGCAGAGTGTGCCGTTGTCGCACGTCGCGCACGGCGGCATGTCCTGGCGACGACGAGGAGGGACGAGGCGATGGAAGGGGGATGAACAGTGGCATCGGGAACGGTGGGGATGGTACTGAGGGGTATGCGGGGTATACGCACACGGACAATGCACGCAAGCACGCTTTGAAAGGAGGAGCGAAAGTGAGAGGTAGCGAGAACCCTGTCAGAAGCGAGTGGTCACGCGGGGGTGATGGCGAATGACTGTGCCACATGAAAGCGTCGCAGGTAGTGCATGTAGAGGGCTAACCTTAGTCGGGCGACGAGCAACGGGACTGCTGCCGGACACCGTTGCAACGCACGCAACGGCCAGCAAGCAGCAGAGAACGTATATGTTCACGGCGCCTCTCATAATTCGGATTTCAACGTCAGTGGAAGAATCTGTGCTGGCCTTAGTCCTGCTGTACTAACAAATATAGCTAAGCGGGTTTTTGGGGAAAAGGTGGGTCTGTAAAGTAACTACCACAAGAGAAGCCTGGTCCGACAAGCAGCTGCTTTATATATCTTTAAAACCCGCAGGCCAAGAATTTCAACCTTAGAAAGGTTGGTTGGGAGTGAAAACGCAAAAGGCCTGCGAACCAATAGGAGTGTCCGAAATGTTGGACGAGGTCTAGAATTCGGGAATGATCACAGGCATTTTTGGGACATCCAACCAACGCTAGGAAGGATGAACCAAATTTGGAGGCGATACTTTTTGCAGTCACTTCTCTCGGTGCTCGCTGCTCCCTCCAATGTGTTACATATCGCTCTGCCTGCCTGTAATGATTTCTCGTAGAGCTCGTCAAATTCAAATTGCGAACATCCTTCATGTCAGGCGCTTTGGGATCTGACGGCCGTGGAGCCACGCCGCTTACTCTTCCAGCGCGCCACGGCATGGGCTGGCTGGGTTGCCTGAGGCCCTGCCGACAGTGCGAGTGGTCACTTCGCGGCTCGCTAAATGTTCGCATCGCAGCTGCGACTGGCTGGAACAAACCCTGGGCAAAAGGCCTGCCAGACAGGAGCGACGACAAGAGCTACGGACGCGGTCGCGGCCGATTCGACGGCGAGTGTCACTATTGCCACAAGAGCGGACACATGTGGCGCGACTGCTACAAACTCCCTGATGGTTGGACCCCTGCTCAAGGCCAAGAGGGTAGAGGAGCAGGAGGAGGGAGAGGACGAGGCCGTGGAGGCCGTGGCGGTCGCGGTGGCGGAGCTGCAAACATGAAGAGCGGAGACAACGACAAGGACCCGAGCGACGATCGATACCCGGGTCTATTCTACTTCGTGTCGACGCAAGTACCGGCTGTTCCAGAGAAGAATGAAGGCTTTGAGGAGCCAGCAGCTGTGGGGAAGGTGACCCTACACCCCCTGGACTATTGGGTGATTGATAGTGGCGCTACCTATAGCATGACACCTCGCCCGGACTTGCTCACCGAACTCGAGCCGTCACCGGTGAAGCATGTCACATCGGCTTTGGGGCAGCGAGCAGAGGTGAAAGGCATGGGCAAGGCCATGTTCAAGGGTGCTGATGGGAAGATGGTGGGCCTCAAGAACGTGCTTTGGGTGCCCAGCCTTGCTGCAAACCTGATTTCCGTGCGGCGGTTGGCAAAGGCCGGCATGGACACGAACTCGAAGGGAGCCAAGACCTACACCGCAAGGCTTGGCGATCGAATTCTTTGGGACCTTCATGAGGACAGGGATGTCTACAACGAGATGTGGCAGATCCCAGTGGTCCCTATGCCTAAGGAGAGGCAAGTGGCAGCAAGCATCAGCACCAAGGATGGAGCGGTCGGTAGCGACGATGGCGCGAACGGTCGCGCTAAGGAGAATGAGCTCAAGAAGAGCAAACCTGGAGGGACCAGCAAGTTCAGTGAACCTAAGGAGAGTGGTGCAGCAACCAAGGAGCAGCAAGAGGGTGAGGAGAACCCAGAGGCAGCAGCGGAGGAGGACTACGGAGAGAGTATGTGGGGCGCTATTGCGAGCGCGGCATTCTCCAATCCAACTTCGGCTACGGGGGAGTGTGATTGGCTCACCTTGCATCGGCGCATGGGGCATGTGGCCCTGCCCATCTTGCAGCAGCTAGTGAAGAATGAGATGGTTGCTGGCATACGTGTGAAGGGGGAGCCCGATGAGGTGCTTGGCTGCCCGACGTGCATTCAAGCCAAGTTCACCCGGTTTTCGTTCCCTAGTTCGGAGGCAACGGCAAAGGCACCGCTTGATGAGGTGGTGATGGACGTGGTGGGCCCCCTGAAGCTTGGAGCTGCTGGAGCTGAGTATTTTCTCACCATTGTCGACGTCTACACCCGCATGACTTGGGTGTACGTGCTGGCCAAGAAGAGCGACGTGGCTGAAACGTTGAAGACGGATTGGTTCCCGATGGTGGAGCGGCAACAAGACCGTCTAGTCAAGTCAATCCGCACCGATCGAGGGGGAGAGTTCCTGAGCAAGGAGTTTGGGTTGTGGCTGAAGAAGAATGGTATTCGGCACTCCCTAACCATGCCATACTCCCCTGCAATGAACGGAATCGCCGAGTGAGCGAACCGCACAATCACGGAGGCGGCACGCGGGTTGCTCATTGAAGCCGGGCTACCCGACTATTTCTGGCCTGATGCGGTGCGGAGCGCGTGTGTGGCCAAGAACAGAGCCTTGACTCATGTGGGAGCAGACAAATGGGTGCCCTATGTGGAGTGGCTAGGAAGGAAGCCAAAGGTGGATATGCTTCGGGTGTTCGGGTGCATGTGCATGGCGCTCGTGCCTAAGCATCTTCGGCACAACAAGCTTGGTGCCAAGGCGGTGTGGGCCGTGCACTTGGGCATGGCTCAAAACAGCAAGGGATGGCTTCTTTGGGACCCATTCACCAAGAAGTTCTTGGTGAGCAGGGACTGCAAGTTCATGGAGAACTTCATGTACAAGGATTGGAAGGCGGAGAATGAGGCGAAGATAGGCGTGCGGTTTGGGGAGGTGAAGAGTTCCGGTTTGGAGCATGTGGAGCTGCCTTTGGAGCTGAGCAGCGGCAGCACAACCACAAGGCAATCCTCCCTTGTGAATGGGGGAGAGGAGGCCAATGATGCAGAGGAAGAAGAGGAGGAGGTGCAGCAAGTGAGCGAGCGTGCACCGTCACTCCCTTCCCGTACTACGAGTGCTCCACGGATTCGAGCCACACCGCACCAACGCCAAGGCATTCAAGTCCCTGCAGCTGAGGAGGAAGGAAGGGGGAAGAGGAGAGTTCAACCCCCTAATAGGCTGACCTATGATGCGCCGGGAAAGCAGGGCAAGACAGCCCTGGCCGGAGCGGCAATGATGGTCGGAGACGACGAGGAGAGTGACTACGAGGAGTGTGCCTTCGCGTTCTTCTCTCCGGTGGAGATGCCGGGAGAACCAGCAACTCTCAAGGAGGCTTTGGAGAGTAGTGATGCTGAGGATTGGAAGAAGGCCATGGAGAGTGAGCTGAAGAGCATCGAGGAGAATGACACGTTTGAATTGGTGGAGCTACCGGAGGGGCGTACGGCGATAACGTCCAAGTGGCTCTTCAAAATCAAGTCGGATGCCGACGGCAAGATCGAGCGCTACAAGTCTAGGCTTGTAGCCAAGGGGTACCAGCAGAAGGAGAAGGTGGACTTCAAGGAGCTGTTTGCCCCTGTGGTGAAGCCGACGACGCTGCGAACCCTATTCGCGGGAGCCGCCATCAAAGGATGGGTAGTAAAGCAAATGGACATCGTAACGGCATTCCTTAACGGCATCCTTGAGGAGGAGATTTTTATGGCGCAGCCAGAGGGGTTTGATGATGGTAGTGGCAGAGTGTGGAAGCTGAAGAAGGCCCTCTATGGGCTGAAGCAGGCCCCTAGGCAATGGTACATGAAGCTGCGCGAAGTGATGGAGGGGATCGGCTTCACTCCCTCAACGGCCGATCACTCCTTGCTCATGCTTGGCGAGGGGGAGCAGAGGAGTTTCATGGTGGTTTATGTGGATGACATCCTCATTTTCTCACCCTCTTCTGACCTTGTGAAGGAGGTGATGCTGAAGCTTCAAGACAAGTTCAAGTGCAAGGCCCTTGGTGACGTGAGCTTCTACCTTGGGCTCCACATCGAACGAGATGTGGAGAAGCGGTGCATGCGGGTGCATCAACGAAAGTACCTGGAGGCATTGGCTGCAAACTTTGGGCAGAGTGAAGGCCATGTGGCTACACCCTTTCCCTCTGGGTTCAAGTGTGTGAAGGGACCAGAGGAGGAGAGCGTTGGTGAAGAGGAGAGGCGCCGATTTCACTCGTTGGTGGGCAGCCTCATGTATGCGGCGGTAAACACCCGACCGGACGTCGCGTTTGCTACCGGGCAGCTGGCTAGGGTTGTGCAATGCCCTAATGAGGAGCAGGTAGCAGCTGGAATGAGGGTGGCCAAGTATCTTGGCCAAACACCGACCGTTGGGCTGCAATACTCGGCGGCGGCACAAAGGCGCCAAAAGGGCGCGGATGGTGTTGAACCCGGGCGTTTGTTCCTCACCGCCTACTCGGATGCTTCATATGCATCAGAACCAGAGGACATGACAAGTGTGGGAGGCTTCATATGCTGTGTTGGTGGAGGCCCAACTGCTTGGGAGAGCAAGAAGCAGGTTGACCAAGCTTTGAGCTCGGTGGAGTCCGAGTACATGGCACTCTTCCGTGCCGTACGGGAGATTGTGTGGCAGCGGCGTTTGTTGGCTGAATTGGGGGAGGAGCAGCAAGGACCTACCCCACTGTACTGTGACAGCCAGGGTGCCATTGCTCTTGCTAAGAACCCTGTGTTGCATGGACTCACGAAGCACATGAGGGTGAAGTGGCATTGGACGAGAAGCATGGTAACCGCGGGTGAAGTTGAGTTGCGCTACGTGAAGACCACGGGGCAGCCGGCTGACATGATGACCAAGAGGCTGGTGGAGCAGCAGCATTGGAAGTGTTGCAAGCTGGCTGGGATGGCTCTGAACTGAGAGAGCAACATATCCTAAGGCCAACAATCCGAGGGGGAGTTTGTTGGTGCAACCCTACGG